GCGGACGAGCTGTGCCCCTTTCTCCCGCTGCAGGAAGGATTGTGGAGGAACACAGATCTGAGGCCTCCGGAGTATCAGCTGTGGTTAGAGAAAGAATGATCTCATTGGCCACAAAGCTTTCTGTCAGCTTGCCGGAGACACCACCACGTATCAGCTCATTCTGCCCTGACAGCTTCTTGAAAAGGCAGCGGAAGAACATTCTCCCCATTTGACGGATGACCAAACTAAGTCCGAAATGGGCATTAGGCCCAGCACTGGGTTGGGCCCTGCCACCATCGGGAAGTTAGGGCCCTGGCCTTCTGGAAGCTTTAAAACAAGGTTGAAAGAAGCAGGGCGTCCACGTGGAGGTTGCTCTGGAGCTGTATTTGCTAACGGAAGCCCTACAGCTGTAAGTCAAACTGGGTGTCATTCCAGAAGGCTTCCCACCTCTGCTTTTGAAACGCTCTCGTTTTCCCATTCAAATCAGCCATTAGATGTACCAAAGACATCAGCAAACGTTTGCTCTCAAGCACCAGATAAGACATATTTTAAGCTTTTCAGTCCACAGGGTCTCTGTCACAGCGCCTCAGTTCTGCCGTTGGAACGAGCAGGCAGCCATGAACAGTAAGAAGAGATGCGCCGTCCTCCATGAATGGTTATTTACACAGAGATAGAGGACCAGAGCTGGGCCAAGGGTCCTAATCCCGTGGTCTAGCCCAGTACTCATCGATAGAACGCAGGTCACCTAGGTAATTTTTTTCCTAGTAGCCACATTTTTAAAAAAGTAAAAACAAAGTGAGTGTGATTTTCATAATATTTTTTAATTTAATTCAAAACTGAAAATACTGAGACAGTTCCCATTCCAGTTTGCATTGTTTCCACATTGCGCGTTTTCTTCTCTCAGCCGGTCTCAGTGAGGCGTGATCACCTCTCCGGTTCTCGTTAGCACACATGGTTCACAGTGACCATGCGGACTGCACAGTAGGGTTTGCTAGGCCTGTGCTGTAGGGAGAACCCAGCCCATGGGACAGCCTGTCTCATAACTGCTCCGCGGGGCAGAGAGAGGCCACCACAGCTGTGATCCATACAAAACCAGACTGCCACATCTGGCTCCCATGGGTAAGTTTGAACTTCCAACCTTTCCATCAGCAGCCAAGCACTCTGACCACTGAACGCCAGGGCCCCATTATAAACAGATCAAAACCCCAAGTCCAGCCCACTGCGCTCAAGTCACGTCCCGCTCACAGTGACCCCACATGGGGTTTCCAAGGCTGGAAACCTTCCAAGGAGAATCCTGGTGGTCAAGGAAAATCCTGGTGGTCATCCATTGCCAAGCAGCTGGTGGCTTCACCCCAGCAGCTGACACGGAACACGCCACACCGCGAGGGGTCCTCAGAAGGCGACCTCCAGTTGACCACCACTCACAGTGCCCTTGTGAGCACCAGATCTGAGCCCTGCATCTGCACCACCCCCGCCATCTGTGTGCGTGGGCCCAGGGCTGCAGTCACTGTGTCAGTACACCCTGTGGAGGGTCTTCCTCTGACCCTCCAGCTTTCCCAGCATGGACTCTTCTCAGGGACTGGCCCCTCCTGACAGCATGCCTACAGGATTCGAGGCAGGGTTCCATTCGTACCTCTGAGGAGTGCCCTAGTTCCCCTTCCTCCAAGACAGACCTGTTTGTTCTCTCGATAGTCCATGGAATATTCAGTTCTCCAGCACCACAACTCAAAGCACCACTTCTTTTAGCATTCTTATTCACTGTCCAACTTTCACATGCACAGGAAGCCATTGCAAAGACCAAAGCCCAGGCTTGGATCAGGTGCACCTTAGTCTTTGAACTGACAACATTGCTCTTTACACTCTGGCTGGGTCCTTGACCACAGACTTTCCCTAATAATACGGCACATCTTTTGATTTCTTGGCTGCTGTTTCCATGGGTGTTGATTGTGGGTTCGAGTAAAATGAAATTGTTGACAACTTCAGGGTTTTCTCCACTCATGATGTTGCCTATTGGTCCACTGGGGGGGGGGGCAGGGATTTGTATTTTCTTGATGTTGAGATGTAACTTGTATTGAAGGTTGTGATCCTTGATCTTTGCCCAATGGTTTTCCAGTGTGAATAGGGTTTGGAGGAGCTCCCAGTTGTAGGACAGGTTTGGAAGCAGAAGCGGCATCCACTTCCTAAACTGCATGCCTGTGAAAACTCGTCAGGCTTCACAGGCTCAGAGGCCCGATGGGGGACGTGTGAATAGGGGAGATGGCGGCATGGACCAGGGGCAGCTTGAGAGCGGTGGGTTTGGCTCTGGATTAGAAGCCTTTACTGCGTCCTCGTGGTCCTCTCTCCCACCACACGCCAACCTCTGGACGTAGCTCTTGTCTTCCTCATCTTGTTGATTGTCATCGAGTCAGGCACAACTCCAGAGCAACTCCATGTGATTGTACATTTTCTAATAATCATCTTTTCTGTAAAAAGTCCAAAGAAACACGTGAAATTCATGTCAGTGATACATGTTACTCCATCTAGTACATCCAGAGTACTGTCATTACAACAGGTAATCAATCAGTGGACGACAAATCCGGCAAGAAATTGCGCATTCTTCCTCCACACGGAGCCTTTGAAAACCAGTGTGGAGTTTTGTACCAGGCACTCCTCAGTCCGTGCTCGCCACCTCTGCACAGAGCAGGGTGCATCGCACAGCGCAGACTTGGGGCGACTGCGGGGGCCTCCGGTTCTCCCCAGAGTGCGCTGCTGTGAACGGGGCGGCAACCCTGCTGACGGCCTTTGTAAGGCTCCAGGGACATGGGGCACTGGGAGACCCCCGGGGACCTCTTTGTGTGGCAGCCTCGGGGGGGGAGATGGCTCTACACGTCACTGCTAGCACCTCAGTTCCAACTTGTGTGACTGTGCAATGTCCTGGTTTCTTTCTGGGCTGTGGCCTTCAGGGGAGAAGACCAGGTCGTCCCCTGCAGTGGCCTTTAGCTAGCGGCTAATCATAACCGTTTCCAGGGAAATGGGCTCCTATAACTGGCATGGCCAAGCTATGCAGGGACACACAGCTAGTGGGTGGCGGAGCCAGGATTTGAACCCAGGTGGCCTAGGCCCTGCATCTGTGCTGGTCACACCTGGGTCTGCTCCGCTGCATGTAGATTGAGATAGCCCCAGCCAGCAGTGAGTGAGGGTGGAACCCCAAACTGTGTCAGAGACAGGGCCTAGAGATGGTCCTGCTCCAGAGACTGGTCACTGAGTGCAGTACGAAACTGTCCCTGAGGGACGTGCCAGAACATAGACTTCGGGCTCTCCTGTGGAGAGTGTGTGGAGGGAACAATTATCCAGGGCTTGGGGGGACCTCTGATGGGCCAAGAACAAGCCATGCCGCCTGTCTGCTCTGTGCCAAGCTTCCCGTCACAGCCTCCTTCTCCCCAGCTTCCACCACTCAGGCTTATGAGATACCCCAGCTCTGAACCCCAAGACCAACAAGCCCCAATCAGCAAGTTTGTTCCAATTAAAACAATCCATTGGAACAGAACCAGAGGGTTTGCCAGGCCACAGACCCCTCAGAAGTGGGCTGCCACCCAGTTCTATCGAGTAGCTGGTGGTCTTAAACCAGTGACCTTTCCTGTGGCAGATAAGTGCTGTGACCACTGGGTCACCAGGGCACCTACCAGCTCTTCTAGAGGAAAAGAAGTCGTTGCTCCAAGTAGATCTGCTATTTGACATTGATACTGGAGAATAGATGTGTTGCTACCAAGAGAAATGAAGTCCATCCCTGCCTGAACGGAGGTCCCTGCCGGGGTGGTGTGTAGAGAATGGCCTTGGGTGTCAGGAGCTCGCGTCCACATGGGAAGGCCCAGGACTCTTCCTGGAGGGTTTGCCCACGAAAAGCCAAGTCCCAGGGGCAGGAGGCAGGGGCCAGGGGAGGCTAGTTCCCTTTGACCCCCAGGAAGCTGTATGGGCACGAGAAGCTCAGCTGGACACAGCTCTCGCCCCAAGGCAGCCAGTCATCTGTCCATTTCTTCCACTGGGAACCCACTCCAAGCACCGTCCTGCTCTCAGACATTTGTTGGAGCTGTCTGATGTCTTTGAAGGACTTTAAAGATTCTTTTTCATTTTCAGTAGCAAGTAATTGTCCTTGAGTGTATTTTAAAAAATGTGTTGTGTTTGAACCTATGACATTGTCTGTTAATAATAATGTTGGAGTGTGGTTTTTTCCTTGTGTGTACCATCAAATCATATCTGATTGGCACAGGATGAGAACATGGTGGATTTGAACCGCGCGCCTTCAGGATTGCAGCGCAGCTTCTTACCACTAGGCCACCAGAGCTTCCTAATAATGTTGCTTTTCAGTGGCATTGGGTGGGTCTTGCCGGAGTAGACTGCCCGTGGCTTCCAGCCCCTTGCCTCTGGGCTGGCATTGCACTAGGCCACCAGAGCTCCCGACAGTGATCATAATAGCTGTTAGTAGCTTACACCACAGAGCTCTGGTGGCCTAGTGGTAAGAAGCTGCACTGCCATCACAAAGACATGCAGTTCAAACCCACCAGCTGCCTCATGGGAGGATGGGCAAACCCCTTCTGTGCAATTTACTACCTCTGAACACTCATCGGAGGGTCAGCTGTGCGTCTGTTCCTGTTCGACAGCACACAGCAACAATAGCTTCGTGTGTGTGTGTGTGTGTGTGTGTGTGTGTGTGTGTGTCCGTGTGTCCGTCCGGGGCGGGGGGGAGAGAGAAGGGTGTGTGTCCTTGTGCTGAATGCTTCCATACAGTCTCCTCTAGTCCCCACCACAGGAGGTGGGCCCTGTGATTATCCTGTCCTCCTGAGGAGGGAACACGGTGGCTTGCATGCGCTCATCCAGCCGGGATCCGGTGGAGCTGGGGTGCAGCTCTCGTTTCCTCACTCCTGAGCCGTCCTAGGGCCTGCATCCCCCTCCTTAGACCCCCCACCCCAGCCCTGCCCCACACCTGGATCTGCAGATCTGGACGACTTGGTTACGTGTAATTCTCTCTTTCATTATTTCCAAAGGTAGTGGCCCTTAGCAAGCGGAGTCAGGAGGCTGAGGCTGCTTTCCTGAGTGTTTACAAGCAGTTAATCGAAGCACCAGGTAAGAAACACGTGGACTCGATCCTGGAGTAAAGAACGTCAAGAGCCAGCCCTGCGACTGTTACACGCAGGCTCCTGGAAGGGCTGGCGCAGGATTGCTGGGTGAGGCCTGAGGCCCGTGGGAGGGAGTGCCTCGGCCAGTCTGGGGAGTCCATCAGCAGATGAGGGTCCACCCCCTGACCTGAGCTGAGAGAGTGTTCTCTGTGGAAGAGCACGAGGGGGATTATTCCACAGGGACAGAGCTGACAGCCGGGTGGCAGGAGCTGCCGGCAGTGGAGGGGACAGACTGTGACACTGGGTCTGCGTTCTCGTGTCTGGGAAGGCATTGTGAATGTACTACATGTGCCCGGCCTGTTTATTTCAAAGGGCCTTTATGCTGTTTGAGTTTCACCTCAGTCACAGGAAGAATGATGTGTTGTTAGAGGTTGCGATGGGCCGAAAGACGTGCCAACCTGCTTCCAGATGTTAAGCCTCATGGAGGCTCCGTGAGGCCAAGAAAGTGGCCGTTCTCGTGTGCGCCGAACCTTGTGGGGCTGGACTAGCGCTTCTGGTCTCCTCCTCATGTCCTGGGGATCCTACAATCTTACACACAGTCATCGGTGACCTGGCAGTTGGAAGGAGAGAAGTCAGGAAGAGGAGGGAGCCTGGGGTGGTCGCTGATGGCCTCCATGTGCAGCCACCTCCTTTGCCAGGAGGCCAGAAGGACCACATGGTGCCTGACTGCAAGTACTGAACGTTTTATCCAAAGACTCGTTAGAAGAATGTTGTTGCTGTTGTTGTTGTTGTTGTGTGCCGTCGAGTCACCTGCAACTCAGCGACCCTGTGTACAACAGCTCTGAAACCTGCCCTGTCCTGAGCCAGGCTCACTGACTCCAACACACCTACCCCCATTGCCCCAGTTACTCTATCAATCCATCTCATCCGAGGTCTTCCTCTCCTGCGCCGTCCCTCTACCGTGCTAAGCATGATGTCCTTCTCCAAGGACTGGTCCCTCCTGGCCATGTGCCTAAAGTATGTGAGACAGAGCTTCAGAATCCTAGCCTCCAAGGAGAAACTTGGTTTCACCCTCTCCAGGACAGACCTATTTGTTTTCCTGGCGGTCCATGGTATGGTTAAGACTCATCTCCTGTAATACTGAGTAGCTAGAATATAGGAGGGGAAATACAGCACAGAATCTCACATTTTCAGACTTCTTGGAGCCGTAGAGGGTGGATGAACTCTAGAAACTGCTGAGATAATATTTAAACATTAAGCCAAAAATAGCCTCTGATGTTTTCTGAAAAGCCAACAGTAGTCTGGCCTCACTGTGAAAAAAGCCCTGTCTTGAGCCTCGAGCTTCTGTTAAGAATTTTATATGGGATGGAACTGATGATCTGTCTCGTTGCTGTGGAGGCAGAAACGTCCCTGGGCTGCCACTCCAGCGGGTTCACAGAGGCTGTAAATTCAGTAGGAGAATGCTCATCCTTCTTCCACGGAGCAGCTGGTAGATTCGAACCACTTGCCTTTGGGTTGGCAGTGCAGCTCCTTACCACAAGGCCTCCCAGACAGACCCTGAGCGCCCAGCGGGCTTCTGTTAAGAAGAGAAGCAGGTCAGACGAGGAGAATGACAGTGGTCACACACCCAGAAGGAAGGAGCCATGGCCAGGAATCGAACATGTGGAAATGCATGCTGGAAGTTTAGCTGTGTGTATGCCCAACCCCAGCGGGCTGGAGATTCTGCTGAGGGGCGCACAACTCCTGGAAGGGGCGTCCAGGGCAGAGCTGCTGCCTGGCCTGGGGCAGCTCCCAGTGTGTGGTGAGTGTGAGAGCACCACCAGCTCTACACTCCGGTCGTAGGAATGTCCTGCATCTGTGAAAAGGTCGGTAGCTGTTTGTCCTCTGCTTCCTCCAAACCCTCCGCAGGAGGTGGGATTGCCTTGGTGCCTGCGCCAGCTCCCTTCACCTCATTACTCGACCTCCACCGTGCCATCGGTGCTGGAATTCGTGGGTGGCTGGGACCCAAGAAGCCACACGGAGGAGAATGAGACCCCACCCCCGTGCTGTGGCTGCCAGGTCCAAGCCCTGGAGGTCCTCAGCTTAATGACATGGTCACCAGGGATCTCTGTGCTGGGGTGGTGAGTCCCTCGGCCCCCCAGGACTTTGTGGGTGCAGCTGGTTAAGCACTTGGAGGTGAAATCATTCTGGATTTAAGATGAGGCCCAAGAGTGGTGAGTGGTGTCCCTGTAAGTAGACCGGGCACACAGGGCGGAGGGCTCTGTGAAAAGCAGGGTAGGGCTCGTAGCCGCAGAGTGCCCACAGCCATCAGAACCTGGACTAGACCAGGACAACTGTCCCCTAAGCCTTGGGCGGGCCCTGCCAGTGCCCCGAGTGTGAGTTTCTGGCTTCCAGAAGGGTGCATCGTGTTCTGTTATGGAGGCCCTAAAGAGCTCTTGCAGCAGCACTGAGGGGTGACCCCCACTTTGGCCGGGCAGCAGGGACCTGTCGCACCAGTATCACCTGGGGTCTGGGGAGCCGTGCAGACTCTCAGGGGCTCTGCCAGGCCCACTGAGTCAGAGCGCATGTGTCAACAACACCCTGGAGATGCACAGGCCTGCCACAGTGCCTCCCTGACCAGCCCCCTGCACACACACACACACCCCAGTGCAGAGAAGTTGAGGTGGGGGCCCAGGCCCAGCCGTGTGAGGGGGAGGAGGGCCCATGTGCTCCCCGGCTGCTGAACTGATGACACCAGCGGTTCTTAAAACAGCAGAAGCACGGTCTCACAGTTCTGGGGGCCTGAAATCTGTGAGGTGACGCAGGGCTGGGCCCCTCACAGCCCTTGGGTCAAATCCCTCCTTCCCTGTTCAGCTGCCCCCTCCACCTCCATCTTCACACGGTCTCCTCCTCTGTCTTTGCTCAAATCATCCTCAGCCTGCCTTTTGCAATACACTTGTTGCGGGGTTCAGGGTCACTCACATGTGATCTCAAGGTCCTTAAGTAGATGTTGTCTGCATAGAAGCCACTCCCAGACTGCAGGACGGGGGTGTCTTTGGGCTTACCACGCAGCAACCAAAGGCCTACTGCGTCCAGACCCTGCCCTCCCTGCTGCTCAGCGTGTGTGAGGCACATTGGGGTGGGAGCGCCGCCTCCCTGACGCCATCCCCGCAAGGACCCGGCTCTGCACCAGGACCCATGCTGCTGGCTGACGGCTTTTATGCTGAGAACACTGCCGTTCTCACGAGCGATGCTTGTGGATCGTACTCAGTCCTCATATGTCCTACTTACTTCCGCCCTTGTTGTTCTCATGGTGCATTGGTGTTCAGTCCCACCAGCCGCTCCACGGAAGAAGGATGTGGCCGGTGGCTTCCGTGAAGATTTAAATCCTGAGAGGCCAGGAGGCTCAGGGCCATACGCAGGGCTGCTGTGAGCTGAAGTCATGTCTCAGTCCTGTCC